TCTTCGATAAGAGCGGATCAGGGGGCTTAACTCACACTGGCGCATATTACGCACAGAGCCACGGTAGGCGTGGCGTGGCGGGGCGGGGGCGTTCAAAGCCCCAGTCAGCCAGCCTTGGGCGACCCCCTCCCGATCCCACGCCCAACACCGCCCCGCCCACCACCAGACGGCGGCGGGGCCAACCCTCCGACCCGAACCCTTTGGCCCGGATAGCCCTCCTCCTCCTCGGCACACCTGCACGGGGAGCGCCAAGGCCGCAAGCAGGCCAGCCAGGCCGAGCATCATAAAAATTGCACCGTTTGGAGACCATCACCGAACGCACAACATAAAATTACGGGGGGAGCGTCTCAGCCGCAAACCCCTTTCCGAACTTTTTCTTGCGGACTCCCCTCGTAAAAAGTGCAAAACACGTGGCCCCCGCCGCCAGGGCTCGGCCGGCCACGGGCTGCCCCTCGCACAGCGCGCCACTCAAATTAGGAAAATCGTTGTTTCTTTTTCTGTCCGAAACTGTATCATTACACGACGAGGCAAAATGCGAGATGGGTGAGATGGGCGGCTCTGGAGCAAAGACCGGCCGTTGTGAGAAACAATAATGAAAACAGCGACCACTGGGTGGCCCGATGGCGGACACCGCCCTTGCCAATGGACTTGGGTATTCCCGGCGGCACGCGAGGAGGGCGCGGTGCGCGAATACCCACCACCACCCCGGCATACCGCGGCCGCGGGGACGCCACATCCGGCCACGCACCGCGCCAGGGCCCTCCGCGTCGAGAGAGATATCGCCAGTGGCCGGCCGCGCATACCAATGGGGGCCGCCGATCACCTCGGCCCGGCTGGGCCCGGTAGACTCGCAGAGACACACGGACCTTTCAGCGCGGGGCTCAATGACTGGCTGGTGAGTGAGCCCGTGATTAATCGTGTGGGTCGTATCGGCACGGCAGCCAAGCCCACGGTGCACACTGTGACTAATGAATACCCAGTCCGACGTTCCGTTCCGTCCCCTTCGGCAGATGCGCGCCCGATAAACTCCTAATACGGCAGCGGCGGCGGCGGCGCGCTCCCCCTCCGCTGCATACGCCCCTCTTCCTGTCGGCTGAGCGTCCGCCCGTCGTCGTCCTACGCGGTCCGACTATCCGCGCAGCACGGCGAAGAGAGGAGAGAAGAAAAATGGAAGGAACAATAGCCGCTGCAGTGTGCAGTAGTTAAGCCCTTGCGCAGCTGGAGTTCTCTTTTTTCGCCTCGGTCGGCAACCCCGCCTGATGGACCGACCGGCTAAGGGATCGCGGCGCCGAAATGCCCGCGGGGCACCGGGGCTTATTAAAGCGGAGCGCCCCTTATAACAAACACTGGCCACCTGCAGCTGCGGCGGGCGGGATAGACAGCTGCGGCAGCTGCAGAGCATGACCGTGCGGCACACACAGTGTGGTGGTGGTGGCGCCCTGCGGTCTGTTTGCCAACTTGCGACATGCGTGCGTCCTGGGTGTGCGCCCGCCGCGCCGAGGGGGGCGAGGAAGAGGCTGAGAGGGGCCGTAATGGCCGGGCGGGAGAGCGAGAGAGAGAGAGAGAGAGAGGAGAGAGGGGTGAGAGCGAGAGAGAGGCACCGGCGGGCGTCATGTGTGGCGACAGCAGCGCCCCAGGCGAGTCGAGCCTTATCGATTCTGCTGCGAAATCGCGATTCGCGGCGCCGGAATGTTTACACACTCTGCGGGAGCGCGGGCGCGGGCGGTGCAACCCGTACGAGAGAAGGGGGGGGGGCTTGTGTGTTTGTGAGCGAATAAGAAGGAGAAAGGAGAGAGGGGAGGAGGTCCTCGAGAGCAGCTCGCCCGCCTTGACACCAGGCCCACATATCACAGCTCCGGGAGAGCGGAGGTGAGGGGATGGAGGAAGGTCGGGCGGAGGGCCCCATGGCGAGGTCTGGGCGGCCGAGGGCTTTGCCTCCGACCAGGGCCAGCGCAGCATCGAGTCGGAGCAGGCGCCCCGCAGAGACACCCAGGGCGACGCTCAGCGCCAGATGCAACTTTTCGAGAGAGAGAGACATTCACATCCTACTTTGTGGACTGTCCGTCGCCCATGTGCTGTGCGCGGCCGCGCTGGGGCTCCACAGAGCCCCCCGCCCAGCCCTCCTGCAGGACACGCAGTCAGCGGGCCGTGCGGGACGAACTGAGACAATTCCAGCTTGGCATCCTCGCGTAAACACGGCAACGACTGCGGCAAGCGCGGCGCTAGGCAGCTGGAGAGAGAGGGGGAGGTCGTACTAGAGACATCCGCGCACAACAGCGCCGCTTTCACGACGTCCTTGGCGACGGGACGGGCGGCCCGCGGGCGATCCCGCCGGGATGCATTATTTAGTCGGTGCGGAAAGTCGATCCCGCGCGTCACGACGTCATGAAATTCTCATCCCCGCCATCGGCACTAGTATATCGGCCGCGACTAGGAATAGCTTTCCGCGCGCATCGACTTATTGCGGGGACACACTCGTTATCGGGCGACCGCGAAACTGCGCGTCAGGTGAACCCGCCGCCCGCCCACCGGACTGGCTGCACTTCCAGCACTATCACCCCCCGCCAACCCACTAATTTCTCATCATAACGGTACGGTTGCGCTGCGGGCGAGGTGGCGAGGCCATCGCGGCGGTGCAGCGCAACATGTACATCCCCGCGGAGCCCCGCGGAGCCCCGCGCCGTGCCCCCTGGTGGCTGGTCGCACCACAGCTCGCGCTAGAGACCCCTACATTACCATACACATAACTTGGTCGTGTCATGAGCCCGCGTTACGCCCCAGCCTGCTTGCGTACTCCCACTTGGCAGAGAGAGAGAGAGAGAGAGAGAGAGAGAGAGAGAGAGAGAGTAGGGGAGGCACACTCCGCAGACTCCTCCAGGCAGGCAGTGCAACCCAGTGTCATGAATTATTATCAGCGCCAACTTCTCCCCGTAAGGCGAGGGGTCCACACGCTAAATGAAATGGGACATCGAGGAAAGCAATCGCCAAGTGTCGTCGAGTCGGTAACGCGCCAGGGAGCGCGCCAGCCGAGCCAGCCGAGCAGAGCCGCGGGCCGGACGGCGGTCTCATCCCTCGTGTGCAAACAGAGACCCGCTCGCTCGCGGGTGTTGCGCTACTCAAAGTCAATCAGCGCGGACGAATCGCAATAATTAATCTATGCAAATCTGAATGTGAATGCAGCCGCGCGCCACACACCACAACGAGGTATTGGCCGAGACAACACGGCGAGTAAATGAGATTTGAACGGCGATTAATCAATGACACTGCGCCAATTAATTAGGGCGGCCCGGCCGGACAACACCAATCAGGCGGCCGATTTAGGCCCCAAGTGTGGCGCGCCGATATGCAAAGCGACTTGTTCTAATTTAACATCACAGAGCGCGTTTGCTTTGCTGCGGGACTTGCAGCACACATCGCGTATCGGACCGCGACACGAGTAGGCTCTCCGACCGAGGCACGCCGAAAGTAGGACAGACGGGGTATAAGGGGGAGAAATTGTCACGCAGATGATGCAGGAGGACACGCTTGCTTTACTGGTGCCAGTAGTAAAGCAGTATTCCTACTACTCAAAGTGAGCGACAAAGCGCGTTCTATCGGTACGACTGCCTTGCAGTTTGTTTCCAGTGCAGCTAACATTCCCAATGCTGGATAAAACCGGACTAAAGTGGACGTGCACTAACAACTTAAAGTTAAGCACTAACTTACCGTTTAAAGTAAATCCTCAAGGTATCCACAAAAATGATGGTATTCCATTCGCTAGTTGCTCCCATGCGATGGCATCCAAAAATTTGAACTTTTGTTGAACACACCACAAATCCAAACGGCACTAAAAATCACTCCTCACACTCAACACTTTGTCGTTAAAGACACCACTTGGGGCCTCACACAATTTTCACTTTCCCGCTCTGGGGGAGACACTTTGCACAAATCCAGACAAACTGGAATACTCGACGGACCACGAGATAAATCCAATGAGTGGTCGATGCACACACAAAACACACACTTCACACACTGCGGCGCGATCTTTTCCGAACAGCCGGCTCTAGACGCGTACGGAGCACGCGGAGCGCGGCGCGAAGCGACGAGGCGGCGGCACGAACGACCCGCTCGCTTGGGGGCAGCAGCCAGACTGACTCACACGGCGCGGCGCGGCGTCCTCCCCCCCCCCCCTCTTGTTCTCTCCCCCCACCCCCCGGGCCGCATCCACGAGACAGAGCGCGCTCGCTGGCAGGCCGGCAGGACACTTCGCAGGACGGCCGCTCGGCGGCGCCACCGTCTGGCTGCTCACACGCGATTGAATGACAAGAAGGTCCTGCTAATGAATGGTATGCATCAGAGCATCGGTCGGATGCGAGCGCTCAAGTGATTGGTGTCCAGCAAAACTAACCGCAGGGGTCAAGGGTGGCATCGCGACCAACAGCCTGAGGCCTCGGTAATTGGTGAAGTCCGTCCTGTCAAACGGTCAGGCATCCCGCCACGTGATCCATTAGACCAGAAAGGCGAGATAGGCACAATAACAGACAGACCAGGAAGTTACATTCGAAATGCGCGCCTGACGAGACAGGTGCGCAAGCGATAGCACAGCATTTCGAACACCTGGTAGTACGTTGCCCCTGTTAACGGCTGGTAATTAGTAATTAGTCGAGAACAAACTAAGTTCTGTCCCTCGCCGACCGAATGCAGGTGGTGGTGGTGGTATGGTTGATGCGGGGGTCCGCGGGTGGCGGAGGACTGGAATGGAAGGGAGAGGAGGGAGGGGATGGACCAAGGTGCATGTCCTCATTAGAGGGACAGACACTCGCGGCCACGGATCGTTTGTGAACAAGGCGATGACATCAAATCGAGACATCTCCCGATCCCCTCCCCCAGCGCGTCCGGCCCCCAACGCATTGTCATACCATGGGGGTGAGCGGGGTGGCAGTGGTGCGGGGTGGCGGTGGTGCGGGGGCCGGCGCTGACTCAGACGCAGTTCCCCATATCGGCCCCGTGCATCCTTCGTCGTCCCCGCGTCGTTGGCGGCGCACAAAAAAAGGATGCGCCCGAGGCGATGTCTAAAAACTGCATATGATGCGTCAAGTCGAGCCAGACTGGGGAGACGGGGACGCGAGGCGAGGACGCAAGCAGCAGGGGGGGCGGCTCAGTCAGAGCGAGACTTGTGAGACGCGGTTTGAAAAGCGTCCGTCGTTTGCTACGCGGAAGAACATACTATACGTTAGAGTACAACGGCTTGCGTATATGCAAGTGTGTTGTGAGGGGAGAGGGGGTGAGGGGTCGGGGTGAAAGCTGGAAAACAAAGAAACAGGGGGCTGGGGGGAGAAAGGGAGGACGAGAAGAGAGAAAAGAGCAATGAATCAGAATGTATATTAAGGCTTAGGCGCACTGGGATTAAAAAAGTGAAAGGCGGCTGCGCGAGGGGGAGTGAAAGGGAGGGAGGATTGTGAGGCTTCGCGGGGGGAAGGAAGGGGGCACTTCAGCGCGCCATGCACCCCGTGTCGTCTGCTGGCGTCGCCTGCTGCCGCCTGCCGCGCCCGGATAGACGGCTAATGTGGAGTAACCGCGGCGCTTTTCAAACTTTCAATAAGGCGCGGGGTGGGGGGCGCTTTGAAGCGCGATAAATTATGAAAGCAGTAATAAGTGCTGGTGCCTCGGCGGCGCATTGCGGCGAGACACTTTGAATCTCAGTCCTCTTTAGTGAGCAGGGGGTCTAGGTGGGACGGACGGACAAGTTCCAGAGTGGACGACAACGTGGCGCAGATGAAATGAATTTTAGCGCGCCGGAAGGGGTTTGGGGCGCCACGGCGCCAGCACCGGCCGGGGCCCGGGCTGGGGGTAGAGGGGTCCAGCCCGGGTAGTGGCCGGCCGGGATTTGCAAGGTCCCTTTCGTTCTACCAATTCAGACCTGGTCCCTGCTGCTTTACATTGTGGGGCCCGGCCCAGCCCCGCCGCGCCTCACTAGCCAGACTCCCGCTCTGCCCTTCCACGCCCCTTTTACCTGGCTGTTCTCTCTCCGCCCGCCCATGTTTCTGCTGAGTCCGCTGGCTGGAATTACACCGCGTCGGCCATCCTCCCCTCCAGCTCGCTCTCGCTCGCTCCCTCTGGCTCTCTCCCTCGCGGCGTGGACCCCAACCCCGGAGCCGCGCTGCGAACACAGGAAGGTGTTATGACCACTGATGATGACGCCGCGAGACAACAACTTCAAAACACCGGGAGCTTTCGGCGACGGTAATGGGCGAGCGGGGGATGGGCGCCGCCGAGCCGAGCGCGCTGAAAAATAGAAAATAACAAAACTTTAGCAAACCTGCAGTTAAAAAGCGATTTGGAGAGCAGAGCGCAAAAGGACACGAGCCGCGGCACGCTGGCTTTGAACACGGAGGTCGTTATTTTTGGAAAGTTCGTTGCGTCTTGGAGCGCTTCCATGCCTTTTGATTGCATAAGATCAAAGATAGGCTACTTACCATCGGAAATGATGCACAAGCCAAGCTCGTGTCATTTTGGAACATCCTTAAGTCTGTTGCAATCAGGTTTCATGTCCATGCTCAAGCTCATGACTCGTCACTTGATATGAACCTTCGTACACTGACACGCGGTAAGCAGGGTTTTAAAAAAGCTCATCAATATTTCATTTCACAAGCTTTACTATTTTGACATAAATTGATTTAAAAATGTAGAATCTGTAGTAAAAAAATGTACGCTACGTAAATGTGGCACCCTTATGGCTTTCATATGTACACATATGTATACATG